AATTTACAGTTCTGCGTTACCAATGTTAATTTTGTCCAACCTGGACAAGAAAAATGATAATTCCACTTTATCAATGCAGACAAGGGGCACGTTGTTACTGGCTGCCAGGAGAGCCCTTTTTTGTTTAACCTACAAGAATTACAAAAAGGAAGGACCGTGCCTTTGCACCATAAGCCCCTTTCAATTGTATTTAAAATGTATGGCACAACAAAACTAAGGATATATCCTGCAGAACATGCATGGAGAAAATCTCAGATCCTTACCTATCCATCAGTACTAGATCATCTTTCAAGAGGGAACACTTGGAGTTGGGCCACATGACACTGACCAGAGATCCTGAATCCAAGAGCTCGTCCTGATGAAGAGCGTGAGCCAGCTGGTTCACTGTCTGAAACAAAAACCCAGGCACAATGATTTAGAGGTTGGCATTTATTCAATGCAGATTATAATATTCTGTGTATTTACTGACAATGTACATTTTAAATGGGCACATTAAACCGGCCATGAGCACTCTCAGCCAATCAATACTGTTCAGGTTGGACAAAACTGGTATTAATAATATGGAGGTATTGGTATCAATGTGGCTGAGATGGAGGAAGAGCCTTGGCAGCCTTCCTAAACCAAGGAACCACACCGTCGCACTCTAGGCAGCGAGATGCTGCTTACAATGTCCCATTGAAGGCCCTTAAAGCCATATTGATCATCAACACAGGAGAGTTATAAAAGATGATCTATATAGTTTACCAGCAAATTATCTAGAAAGCATATAAATGTAATGTTTTACTTATGTGTATGTGACTTTCTGAACGCAGCCCTGAGCAGCACACATACGCTCACAGTGACAGAGAGCACGTATCAAAAGGCTTTGTAGGAATTTACGAATGAGCACTTGTCGACTGTAACCAATGTAACTATACTTTTTCTAGCATTCAGCATACACAACGTACAGACTGCATTTTATAATTCAAGGGAAGGGACTTATCCTTAACACACATATGATGGATTTTATTACAAACTTCTGTTAAAATGTAGATGCTGTAACACTTACAGCTAGTCCAGTCTTGGACAAACAACGAGGAAGTGAAGTTCCCATTTAACTTTGTGCATCAGAGGGGCTGAGCTTTGGGTGCTGGGAGTGTTAAACCCACTCTAAAAAATTTTTGATAGAAACCGGAAGATATATTTTAATAGCCTACACTGAGGCCTGGTACAGCAGTTCTGACACCGACAGAAAAATAGCCATTCCTCTTTAAGCCAGGCACGTTGTCTGATATCACACTGATCATGTCAGCACAAAGTCTGCTCATACTGCCACATGTATCTAATTATAGCGAGAGGTATAACTAGGAATGTGTATATCAGTGTGTTGCACACACCCCTTTGGCACACAAGTTTAATATCAAGCCTCTCTGGTATTACACAATGTGATGCCTTACAGTGCACAATATTCACCTTTAACTGTTGTGTATTGTCTAACGCACACACTCTGACATTCATTCAATAACCCTGCGTTCACCTTCACACTTCGTTTCTCCTCTGATCCATCAGTAAGAAGATAGGACTCGTTTCCCTCTGTCCCCTCAACACGCAGGAAACAGTTGGTTGTGTGCCCGATGCCAGAAGGGAGGACTTTGTCCCATAACATGGCGTTTATTACCGTGCTTTTCCCATTACTGGTCCTATGACAGGGAAAGGACATACACAATGTCGCATTTTTATTACAAGAAAACATATCTCCTACCTGCCATAGTGCAACACTTAACAAAATGGCTGACTAAAATTATACTAAAAAGTGTTGTCAAAATCGACAATCTGAAACGGTTTAAAAAGTATAAGATGCAAATGTATGTTCAAATTCACCAAAATATCTTACTTTCATAATTAAAATACAGTTCAGTAAAGTGCATATATTATTGTGTCTATAACAGAATAGGGCAAATTATGCATAGATACTCTGATTTCTACAATGAATAAATACAATATATAAACAGTGCAAATGTGTCATTGGCATTGCAATCACATAATGAAGAAGAGTTTCACGGAACTGTACCTCCATTATCTACTGAAACGGTGGGGATTCTGCGTTAATCTTCAGCAACAATTTTTAACAAAATTTCTGTTTGTGTCTGAGCTAGGATTGCACGCTTAGCATGCTGGCCGAGTATCAAAGGAACTGTAGTCCAGAAACCTTTGCAGTTCTTACGTCCCTGATCATGTTTGTTACAGAGCTGTATCTTACCTGCCAAAAAAAGCCACTTTCATGTGCCGCCGAGCCAGAACCTCACTGATGCCAGCGACGTTAGACAGATAGCCTTTAACCTCAAGCACCTGTTCTTCAGAGGCCACTGGATCGAGCTGGGCATTCTGATAGGTTTCTAATAAACACAAAAGATAATCAAAGATTGATCGTTAGGGGGGACATTGTTAATGTTCTAAGAATTCTAACAAATCGGAATTTATTATTGGCAATCAAACAGCTAATTCTCCACGGTATCTCAAACTATTATCAGCCCAAATCAATGTATTCTCTAATGCTGAATAAATAACAAATCGTGGGCAGAGTGATTAAAGTGGTGCAATCAGTAGGAACTGGAATTGGTTTCCATGGTGATTGCTCCTTTAGTTATAAAAAAAATAAAAATAAAGGTTCCAAACCATTTCACCCCCAGCATACACAAGTAAGAATTGGAGAAAGTTGGAACCTACTGCTCACATTACAATCTACTGGCGCCCCTGAGGAATGCATGAAAGGATCAGCGGGCCAGAAAATAAAGGTGCAGGTAATATGGGGGACCAAGAGGGAGCATGTCATTAAAACGCTCGCTCACAATACAAGAGGGGGATATTAATACAAATAGAAAACGAACGACATATCATTTATACCAAATCCAGAAAATTGGGGTGGGAACAACTCCCCCACAAAAAGAAAACAATATAAAAAAAACACAAAACAACCTATATGAATTCTAATATAAAGAGAACAGGGTAAGGATAATAAATAGTAATGCAAATAATCGGTAAAGGTCAGGCACAGATTAAGATGTTTGGACACAAATCTCACCATCTAGAAAGTTGAAGCTCTCCTGGATGTAGGAACCAAGTTGGTCAAAGATGCCGTTGATTTTCTTTTTGGCGGTAACAAAGTGCTTAAGCGGAGAAGCATTAACTTCAGCCATGAATCTCTTGTCTTTCTTCGCAGTAACTATAGATGATGAGCGAGTAAACAAGAGGGACATTGCGCTGTCGGGAGGAGGAAGATATTTTACTGAAATCGATGGAATTCAGAAAGAAATACAGACAGGAACAGCCATAAATTCATGCAATGTCTAAAATACCGAGAGTCCATTCACTTTTATTATTTCTGGGCATGTCAGCTTTAATTTTCAGAGTATGTGACAAAGGAGAATATAGCTGCTAATTAAAATATTAAATATACCAACTAGTATAGGCGTATACAAGGTTAATATGAGGTATACTAGACCAGAAATTGCAAACGCTCTCTGAAATGTGTTCACCACCCCCCCCCCCACCACCCTTTTTTTGTGGTTTCTCTCCCTGTTTCGTCTTAGTTTAACTAACTTATAGAATTCGCACAAACAATGCTTCAGTTAGTCTTATTTAGTGGCAAGGTGTCTGAGTTTTGCTATACTGTGTGAGTGTCTTGGGTGGGGGAAATCTCCCAGTCATGGTCTTTCATTTTGGCATTCACAGCCATTATGTCTAAATTTGTCAAAATAAGGAGCACTGGCACCATAACCACTACAATTAGCTGTAATGGTTATGGTGCTTCAAGAGCCCCTGTAATAAAATCTGGACAAAATAAAGAGAAACACCCATTTGGGCAAGGAATATAACACAGATTGCTGCCACAGACTAATGCATATATAAGCAATCAGGCCTACCTACTGTATGTACTGAG